ACAACCATTTACATTAACTCTGAGCAAAGGAAAAAAATGAAAAAAAAATCAAAATTGAACTTAGGTTGGTTTAACTCATCAATGTGCTTGTATGGATTATTCTGGTGATATACTTTTCTCATGTCCTCCTACCTTGTGCCTTCTCGTCACTCTTCCACTCAGGTTATTTACAATTCTCTTGCTGCATGTGGTGTTGAAAATGTTTTGGGAAGTTTGAAATTGTTCTTATTAGATTTGTTTGATATGAGACCTGTTTAGGACAGCATCCCTAAATAATTTCCCTTCTCTTAATAAGCAAATTGCTTGGTTAGGCGTTTACTGTTTTTGGATGGGCCAGAGAATGAGAATAATTCCCAAGCTAATTTCTTGCACTTGGGTCCTAATTTGGTTCATTGAGTGAGAGATATATAATGTGTGTGTCTGTGCAGGTGTTTTACCCAAGTATTTCAGCTCAGAATGGTCTGTGGCCCAATTTCGTTTGCTTGAACTCTCTCAATATGTTGTTTCCTTTGGTCATCAAAAAAATACAGTGGTAATACTTGGATTGGATGGAAGGTAAGTCAAAGCTGATACCTTTAACTATAAAAGCATCTGGACTTTAGGCACGAACAACACTAGAAGAGATTTGTTTGCCTGTGTCTGCTTCCAAAATTTGCACTTGATTTTGATATAATAAGCTGCACATTACAAATCGTAAAACAGGTTATATTTTTGCTACTTAGTGTTGACATGGTCAAGCTCACATGCACGGATTTGCCTTTGTATTTTGGGTCCTTGCAATTTGTTTGGAGTTAACGACGTTGTCTTTACATTGTATGCAGCTTTTATAGATGCAAGTTTGACCCGGTAACTGGCGGAGAAATGACTCAGTTGGAATATCACAATTTTCTCAAGCCTGGATAATCTTTCTAATGGATGTTCTGGGAATATGCAACTTTCATGGCAATATATCCATAATTATCTCTTTTTTTCCGGGCACTATTCTGTTCTTTTGACTAATACATGGGGGAGGTGGTGTAAATATCCAAGTGTATATCCTGTGAATTATAGTCAACGTAGTTGCTAAACATCACACCTAACAAAAAAATTGATGCATTAAAAATAGTGCATTACATTTTGTTCACTCAACGTTAGAGATGCAGAAGTTGCGGAGGGGGCGAGTTATATTTTAGGCCTTGTTTGGCATTTAAGTTTTTTGTCAAGTTTATCTGCTATAAGTTTTTTAAAAATTTTAACTACAGTAATTTTAAAAAATTTAAAAATTTATACATTTCAAAAATTCACTTGCCAAACCGTATCTATGTTTACAAAAAAGGGGATGTTATTGTCACAAAGTAGAACACAGGATTTCGCGAGAATTATATTTTTGGCACTGAATTCCTGCGTTCTACTTTATCAGGGTAACAGCTCTCGAAAGTTATTAAAATTTATTGATAATACCAAAGCCGTTATCCAAGGTCTCATCATTTACTAAAGTGGGACGTATTTACAACAAAAATGCAACGAAAAGTAAAAAAGAAAAAGAATTAACTGGGCTTGTTAGCTAAATCATAGTCCACGCAAATAATAAGGCGCTCTCGCGCGTTCTTAGAAGGTAGTACCATAGTACAGTATTCCTACCCCGTCAAAAAAACACCCAACCCAATTTGGTTTGGCATGGACGAGAATGGTTGGTTGCTGGCCGAGTTGGTCAAGTAGACGTATCAGATTGATTCATTTTCACGATCTGATAATTTACGTTAGATTGTTTGTTGAATGAGACAGCGATGGGTGCGCGCGCAGAAAGCAACTGCGGAAGCCGAAGAGTGAACATGGGCCCGGAAATAGAAAAATTTAGCATGTGCCGTAGGTACCAGTAGGTAGTGGACGGGAGAGTGCACCATCATCGTCATAAAATGGGTTTGTTTGGATTGTGAATTATTAGAGATATTTTTATTATAGTATTTTTTGTAATGTGATGTATATGAAATAAAAATATAATTAAAAAGATAATGATGATGTAATGATGAAAATATAAATTGTAATGATGATTTAAGTAAATATATTTTGACAAATAAATCGCAATCCAAACAAACCCAGGATGGTGAGCTAAGTCTCAGTGGATCCACCACGCATACTATAATGTAGTCTGCAGCGTAGGCAACATTTTTTTCCGAGGTCTCCGCGTGAATTTTCATCGATCGATGACCATATGTCGCGCCCGACCTTTTAATTTAGGGATATTTCCAGATACCTCCTTAAAATATTTAACAATTACACTCAATTATCCTCAGGTTTCAATAATTACATATTGACCTCCCTTAGTCCAATCAAATGACTAAAATGTCCTCTACTTAATAGTTAATTTATAAGGAGACATTTAAAACTGTAAAAGAAATACTTTTTATTATCTTACTTGCCATCTCCTAATCTCAAAAAATAAAAATCACTTTTTTTACAATTTTCATCTCTCTCTATCTCCCCTCCTCTTTCCTCCTATAACCGTTTTTTTTTACATCAAATATCGCATTCTATTATTACAGCTATCAATTTTCTATCATTTTCAAAGTTTTATATGCATTTATTGTTTTCCTATTTTACTATAAAAATTTTAGACCATTTCCCCCCTTTTTTCAATACTTTTACTCTTTATAAATGTTAGCCAAATGAAGTTGTCAAAATAACTAGGTGCAAATAGTGTATTTTACTGTCAAACTAGAGGAAGATGAAGAAGGTGACATTGACACGAGAGAGAAAATATGAAAATGATAGTTGAAAGATGAAGAAATGGCTGTCATATTTGCTAGACAAAAAGTTCAAGATATAAAAAACTCAATTTGTTTCTCTATTTTATTTCCACCCATTGAGTGCAGTTTATTATAAAGATAGAATTTTGTCTATATTTCTAAGAATGGTAGAATAATGATAAATTACATTCTTGTGGATATAGGAGAGTTTTCTTGGTGTTGGTATTGATTGTGGTAACAAGTTACACTAGATAAGAATCAGCAAGTAGTGAACTTTGAGATAAATTGGAGTTGTTGGTATTTGTTTGCTTAGTTGGGTTTGCCACGCTCAAGAAGTTAAAGATTAAAAAACTTTATTTTTCTTTTTTAGAAGAAGGGTATGTAAGAATGTTTATAAAAAAGCATAGCTGTTGGAGCCTATATTGTTACATAAATCTTAAAAGTAAGAGAGGTAGATATAATTTTTAAAACTTGACTTGAGGGGAGCTCTTTGCAATTGCTGGAAACCTCGAGGTAGGCTTTGAAATTATCCCTTTAATCCAATTTATTGTACAAAATTGCACCGTCAAAAATAGATAATTCCAGAAAAAATTGGCATTCCCACGAACCATCCCTCCTCTGACCAACCACTACTAGAACTACTATAAAAGGGCCATCATCCTTCCTGTTTGCTCAACCAGAGATCACTGAAGAAAATCTAGAATTGCGAAACCTAACTATTTGGTTCTACCTATCTATCTATGGCAATCAAGGTCCACGGTAGTGTTTTCTCCCCAGCAGTATTGCGGGTATTTGCATGTCTTAACGAGAAAGACTTGGAATCAGAATATGTTGAAATTAACATGCGAGCAGGAGAGCACAAAAAGGAATCCTTCCTCGCCCTCAATGTAAGAACGTCAGCTTACTATAGATATGTTTCTAGCAGTAATATTTAGCCTCGGATACTAATTTTATATGTATATGCTTTTCCTTTTTTGGTTAATTTTGGCCCTCTAATATGTTTTTTTCTCCCCTCTGTCCCCCATAAACAGCCATTTGGTCAAGTACCTGGTTTTGAAGATGGGGACTTGAAGCTCTTCGGTAAGTACTAGTGGAGTATATATGTTTTCCTTTCGATTTTTCTTCCCAAAAAAAAAAAAGAAGAAAGAAAAAGAATTTCGTGACGGTGTATGCAGTATAGATTCTTTTTTTTTTAAAAAAAAGAAAAAATTGAAATGCAGAGTCAAGGGCTATAAACCAATACATCGCTCAGGCTTACGCGGACAAAGGGAACCAACAACTGACGTTCGTACAAGATGCAAAGAAGATGGGGCCGGTGTTCGTGTGGATGGAAGTGGAGGCTCAGAAATTTGACCCTCCATCTTCAAAGCTGGTGTTCGAGCTGGCCGTAAAGCCCCTCCTGGGCATGAACACCGACGATGCGGTGGTGGCAGAGCACGAGGGGAAGCTGGGTGAGATTCTTGATGTGTACGAGGCTCGGTTGGGGCAGTCAAAGTACTTGGCCGGAGACTGCTTTACCCTGGCGGATCTCAACCATCTCCCTGCTATCAACTACTTGATGGGTACGACCGCCAGGAAAGTTTTCGATGCACGGCCCCACGTGAGTGCCTGGTGCGCTGATATCTTGGCCAGGCCGGCTTGGGCCAAGGTCCTGGCCCTGCAAAAGCAGCATCCCAGTTAATTTAATCCTTTTGTTTTGGTTTTATTCAGATCATCTGTCGGGCCGGCCGGCTCTGTCTTCCCGGGTGTCTGTCTTTCTGTGTTTTGTGTTTGTACCGGTGTCCGGATGTGTGTGGAAGCTTTTGGAGTGTGTGAGGAGGGTCAATAGCGTCCGTTGACCCACGTCATCTGACGTGAAGGTCCATTGGTCTCTGTTGCCCCCTCTTAGAAATAAGCTCCGTTTGAATTAGCTGTTTTTAGGAAAAATAACACTGTAACATTTCGTTTTTGAAATACAAGTCCGTTTGAATTAGTTGTTTTTGAAATTATTTTTTAAAAATTATATGAAAATTTTTTACGATAGATGTTTGTTGAATTATTTTTAAAGGTATTTTTAAAACATATTGTTGAGTATTTTTATAATTTATAATTTTTATATTTATATACATTTATAATACATTTATAAATATTTATAAATAAATATATTTATATAAAAATATATAAATGTTTTATATTATCTCTAGTAGCAATCAGTTTGTTAGTTTCTGCCGAAAGTTTTTTGCGGCATTTATTTATTTATTTATTTTATTCTTCTTGGTAGTGTTATTTCGAAGGAAGGATCAAGTACGCACGTTGGACAGCGCGATACGCTCTTTATATAATTTGAGGGCTAGTATTCAGTTCCTTACGCAATAATCACGCCGTCTGGGTGGGCACTTCCCTCCTTTCGGGAGCCTCGCTTTTTTAATTATGCCACATGTCTCGATATATTAGAATTAATTGTCACAACTTTTTAACTAATTTTATGCTTTTATATAGGAGGATCTACGCCAATCAAAAACTGATTTACTAACTTACTTAATTGGACGCCTCTATTGTCCATAAAAATGAGAATCCCTTTGTCAATAAATTGGTTCTGGAGGGAGCGCAGTGCAGTTCTAGAAGAAGTCTCAAGGTAGTTGATTGCTTGAGGTGGTCTAAAAACTCTCTTAGTGTCTTTTCTCGACCACGGATTGATGATGACTATTGTCGACTGCGTTAATTTTAGTACCTAGTATTTCTTTTTGGGGCATTTTCACTCGCTTGTGTCCAAAATCCATCCTCGTCCTCGTGTGGAAATTGACATGTGAAAAGAAAGAAAGATTAAGCGAAACTGACATGCGGGACGATTTTTTCCTTGTCCTAGGAAGAGGTGAAAAAAGAAAATTGGCATGTCGAAGTGATCATCTCTTCCTATAGCACCTACCTTCCAAAGGAACAAGAGAATTGATCAATCTGCATTTTCTGTGATCATGGCGGCAATCAAGAAATGTTTTCTCTGCCCCTTCACTGAGAGTGAGAGCCGACAACTTTTGCTCCAGTTTCTTCACGTTCATACGGTAGCAAGAAACTTTCCTTTGCCTCAACGTAAGCAAGTTTGACATGACTTCCTGAAGTAAACAAGAGCAGAAGATGCCTTCCCAAGTTATTGTTCTTCACCAACCTCCTCCTCTAATTGATGGCAGAATCCACTACATCAATTAGGCTCCAGAAGATTGTGGTTTCTGTGGATTAAGGTTAGTAAACTATCGTAAAAGTCTTTAGGCTTTGGTAAAAAAAAATTAGGCTCCAGAAGGTCAACTGAAATTGCGAATGCTGTTTTGCCAGCAATACAAAAATTGCAAGGCAGAGAGACTTTAGTTCCTGAAGTACCATAGATAAAAACAAATAATTCATCGAACAAAAAATACCTGTATCCACCACTGCGACAAGCATAATATCATGTTTCCAGCTGCAAAGATAGCCCACATAGTTCATGACCAAAGAACGATCCTTCACACATCAAACCTGATTGATTTGCAGCAGCCTTTAGTTACATCTTTAGCTTGAGGAGAAGCCTGCCAGAACAATAATTTATGATTAATTTCGACTAAGACCGTCAGGTATTGAAACTTATGCCAAAAGTTCATCTCTGGATAAATAGGCGAAGAGCAATTGCGTTTTGGTGGTTATGCTCAAAGCAATTCAAGATATTCTTGGACACTGCTCTACCTTTGGCTTACTCGGTGTGAAAATGGAGACAATTGTTTTTTCTAATCTAACCATTTGGAGACATCTTCCAGATATTCAAGTTCAATAGAACTATTGCCAGAATCCTTCCTAAATTCCTTGTTTTTCATCAATCTTCGAATTTCTTCCACATCATCCCATCTTCCCATTTCTGCATAAAGATTAGACAGGACTACATAGTAAGCACAATTTTCTGGCTCCAGGTCCACTAATTTCCTAGCTGCAACTTCACTTAATTCTAAGTTCCCATGTACTCTACATCCAGAAAAGAAGGCTCCCCAAATAGTCTTGGTAGACTGAAAAGGCAGTTTGTCAATGATCCTTAGAGCATCCTCTAAACGTCCATCACGTGCTAATAGATCAATCATACAGGCATAGTGTTTGACACCAGGTGAAAATCCATATTTCTGATGCAGTAAAGAGGAAAAAATTTCTTCCCCCCATTTTACCAATCCAGAATGAACACAGGCACAAAGCACTGCAATCAAGGTCACCTCATTAGGCTTATTAGCTCCTTCTCGCTCCATCTCAGAGAACCACATAACTGCCTCCTGACCATTTTCAGCTAAAGCAAACCCTTTAATCAGGGCATTCCACGTGAAAACATTCTCCTCTTCCATGCTTTTGAAAACCTTTAGACCTTCTTCAATTCTACCACACTTTCCGTACATATTAATCAAAGCAGTACCCAGAATGACATCCAGTGTCCACCCTTTCCTCTTTATAAACTCGTGTATCCACACCCCCATGTCAAGCGCCCCAAAACTCGCACAGGCAGCCAGCGCGTTCACCATCGTCACCTGATTGGGTTCCACACCTGCATTCTGCATTTGCTCAAACGCAATTAGTGCATCTTTAAACATGCTACATTCTCGATACCCAGTGATGACTACGGTCCAAGTAACCACGTCTTTGTGAGGCATTTCATCGAACACGTAGCCAGATGACACCATGTCCCCGCAGGACGCGTACAAGTTCAGCAGCGAATTCTGAACATAAATATCATTGAGGGGACCCAACTTAACGATCTGGGCATGTATGCATTTGCCTTGTTTGAGGCTCCTGAGGTCTGACAGAGATTTGAGGATGAAAGGGAAGGTATAGTTATTAGGGAAGATGAGATTTTTATGCATGTGGGAGTAGAAGGAAATAGAATAGTGATGGGCATCAGAATGAGAAAAGGCTCTAAGGAGCTGGTTGCAAATGAAAGTTTGGGGCTTTTGGGGATTAAGAGTATAGAGGAGGAAAGCTGTCTGTGAAAGGCCTAATGATCGGCAGGCAGAGATGAAATGGGAAGCAAGAGTGGTGTTTGTATAGAGGTTTTGGATGATAAGCTGAGCCTGAATTTGGTAGACATGGGCGGGTGAGTTGCAATTAGTTCCTAGGAGCTGGATTATCTTCCTCGAAATACTGTTGGAGTTTCGAAACTTTCCCACCATCTTTCTTGTTGTTGATTTTGCTGATTTCTGGTCCGAATTCGATCATGGTCGTCGTGACTGGTGAACGATTGCACACAGGAGGCGTTACTGCATATGACTGAAATTCACAGAAGAACAACACGAAGATCGCACATAAGATAAAAAGTAAGTAGCAAAAAGAAAGAATGCGCATCCGGGGAATCGAACCCCGGTCAGTACCGTGGGAGGGTACTATGATACCACTACACCAGATGCGCTGTTTGTTAGGTGGACCAATTGCATTACCCTTATAGACTAGCGACGCTTCCCACAACCCCCTTTCCACTACTAGCAGGACCTCAGAAGCAGATTACTTTCGGCTTAGCAACGTCATGGTTCCCCCCAAACAAATAATTCATAAACTGTGAGTTGTTATCGTTGAAGATGACGGAGTAGTATGTAGGACTAATGTAATTATTGAATAGTCACGCCAAAAATAGTTACCCGATTATTATTGAATCAGTAGGCTGGTACTGGGATTCTACTCGTAGTAATAAGAAATCAATCGGTCCGAGAATGAGGATAGTGGGGCTGACCGGAGGGATTGGATCAGGGAAGAGTACCGTCTCCAATCTTTTCAAGGCCCATGGTATTCCGGTCGTCGATGCCGACGTCATCGCTCGTGTAAGCCCCACTTTTCCAATTCCTATTAATCGTTCCCGTTCGTTAACCTACTCTCTGTTTCTTTCATCACTAGTCAATTCTTTTCTTTGTTCTTTCCCGATTGAAACAGCCCAGAAACTACAACTACTAGTACATCAACTGCTATTCTTTTCATATATACAAGTTGACATTTGACCAAAAAAAAAAAAAACCCTGCTATTCTTTAATTTCTTTCATATATATATTAGTCAGTGTTAATGATGTAATTTACTGCATACCGAAATTAAACTTGAGTACTTGGTTTCAACTCTCAGTAGCGCTTTTTTAACTTGCAGGATGTTTTGAAAAAAGGTACTGGTGGTTGGAAAAAGGTGGTGGCGGCTTTTGGGGAGGACATCCTGCTTCCTGACGGAGAGGTGGATCGCCCGAAGTTAGGTCGCATTGTATTTTCTGATCCACAAAAACGCCAGATTCTTAATAGGTACATACTCTTTATTCATTAGAAAAGAATTTGGTTTTGTTTTTAGTACTTCTGTTAGCTTGGGTATGCATTAATGCTCTATTTATGTATTTGGTGCTTATGCACTGGTATCTGATTGATGAATATGGAAGCTTCCAACATCCGGATGCGACTAGTTAGCTTGTGGATAAATGCTGCGCCCCCTTTAGTTTTACATTAAAGCTTTGATTAGGCATCAGCTTCCTTGATGGTAATGTAAAAACTATCTTTGGATTTTTCATTTGTGCTTTGCTTAGATAAGGGAAAAAGTTGCATTTAGATATTAGTGAAGTAATTATTGCCATGATACATTGATGTAGAGTGAAAACTCTGATGTTTGGTCATTAGCCATGAATGAATAGCTTTTTCAAGTTTGGTGGTGCTTTTAATATTGTTAGTTTGATGCTCAATTAAAACTGTTTGAGTATGGTTGGACTTTGCCTGTATCTTATCTAAATACGACAACAGAATCACTTTGAGTTGAACTCATGGAAAGTTCCCCCCTGCCCAACTATTTTGGGATATAATGGGTAGGGTTTGCAGGGACCAAGAGTTTATGTGCTTTGCAGCGGGCGAATTTTGGATGATATGTTGTTAATTCGTTCGGTTGCTGCCTATTATTCCTGTAAATGGTCTGCTGTGAAGTTGAGAAGTTTTCATACATATATATATATAAATTATGTTTGGATTTTCTAGCTTTTGACAGTCTAAAGAGCTTGTTAGATTTGTTTCCTCTTTCTGATTCTTGTGCATCAGTCATTAGAATTGAATGAGCTGATTCTTTTGGAAGAACTTTGCGTGAACCTTGACTTTGGCAATTTATGCATTTAGATTTCTGGCACCATACATCTCATCAGGCATTCTCTTGGAAGTGTTGAAACTATGGATGAAGGGGTGCAAAATTATTGTGCTCGATGTCCCTTTGTTGTTCGAAGCCAAGATGGACAGGTGGACAAATCCTATTGTTGTTGTTTGGGTTGATCCCAAGACTCAGCTCCATCGGCTCATGGCAAGAGATGGAACCACAGAAGAAGATTCTAAGAGCAGGATTAACTCTCAAATGTCTCTTGATCTCAAAAGGACCAAAGCAGATATTCTAATAGATAACACTGGATCACTGGCAGATCTGAATGAAAATTTTCAGAAGGTATTGGTCCAGGTCACAAGGCCTTTGACATGGACAGAATTTGCTCTATCTAGACAGGGTGCTATTGTTGCATCTATATCCATTTTTCTAGGCATCATCATATGCAGGAAATGTTTGTGATGATATTGCATTTATTTATTGAGATAAATTTCATAAACTTCTTATTGTTGAACTCAGCCTTGTGAAATTTGGAAGGCGTTAATGATCCTTAATGTACTATATAATTGGAACTATAATCTTCTTGTGTCTCACCTAAAATAATGCAGAATGGTTTAATGGAGCTTCTGTTTCAGTTCAGTGATATTTGATACTTTTCTTAGCCCCATATTACCTGGATTTATGGTGTCACTGGTGATATATGAATTGGTAAAGAAAAGTGAGAGGGCTTCCAAAGACGTCTTACAGTATGCTGCTGTAGCTTACAGAATCATGGATTGGATTCTAGGTATCTTTGATACAAGAGACAGAGAGAGGGAAGGGCTGTGTTGAGTGGTAAAGTGGAAGGGATTGTAAGTAGAATATCTTGGATTCAAGACTCTTACTTGAGAAAAAAAAAAGAAAAAAGAATGGATGTGACTTTCCATTGAGTAGATTCCTATGACTTTTTTTTTTTTTTTTTTTTTTAAAGACAGTTAATGGAGTAGATTTCTGTGCTTCTTGAACTATGTGCTTATCTTTTCTTTTTTCCTGTATTCAAGTCTATTAAAATTTTAAAAAAATGGATGTGACTTTCCTCGAGGGTTTCTAACAAAATTGAATTTTTGGGTCAAATTGAAATTAAGTTGTAAAAGGTTGTTCAGTTTATGTGATCCAAGAAAGATGCTCTTGTGCCTATATTCCTTTCCTTTTTTTCTTTTGGATCATTTGCAGGAATCAGATTCTTTATCTGAAAAAAAAAGAAGATGTCTTTTCTTGTATAAGCATCGGCGTGACTATTATTTTCATGTGCATGTAGCTCTTTCACGGCGAAACTGGTCCTTGTCAAGTACATAATTAGGAATCTATACATATGTGCATGGAATATGGATACGTGCAAGTATGCATACGGGCCACCAATTTGCTGAAAAAAGGTCATGTTCTTGTCCTGTCTATAAATTTGTGATTGCGTTCTCTTAGTCCCCTTCACTATATCTTACAAATCACAAGCAACCAGAGAAGTCGATCGAGGATGAAACTTCAACAGTTCTCTGGCGATCATCACCATCAGGAGCATTTGATGGATTATGACGAAGCAAAAAAGGTGATCCGCAGGGGGGTGACCCTAAGGAGAGTTTATGCGGACGCTAGGGTGGCCATGCCCGGAAATCAAACTCTCAAGGGAAAGGGTGGCTGGAATTACATTTCCATGGAGCTTGAAAGACGAAACAAGCGATCTGGTATTGAAGACTCCATCAGGACCATCATGTTCTTGGGTTCCTGGAGCCACACTTGAGGCTGATCCATGTGACTTCTTAGTCAACTCTATTTTGCGCAGAATGCTATTCCACAAAGTGAATGACGAAAAACTACCTATTATGCAACTGCACCTGTTATGTACTTTCTCAACTTCACAGGATTTTGGGAACACAATAAGAAAGAACTTGGATCGGTATAATAATAATACTACCTGTTTTGTTTGCTAGCCTAGTGTGATTTCTTTTTAGCAGTATTACTTTGAAATTCTCCATGTCACGGTCATAAATGATCGACTCTCTTTCATTTTACCGGAGATGCAACTGCAGTTTTCGTGGATCATAACCAAATTTTCGTTGAGGTGATTTAACATATACGTTACTAAACGAAAGTGAAGATTAATTGAGAGATTGCTCGTTGAATTTCACAAATCGTACTTATTATTATTATTTTTTAGTGTACGTACACCCTCAAAGAAAAATGACAGACAACCATGCTTACCAGTTGGTCTAAAATTTGTGAAAATTTGAGGTCTCCTCTCAAGAATAACGAATCTTGTTCTATTCTTGTAAGGTATATTTTCGAATCCTAGTTTAAGAAAAGTGAATGAAACTTCAGGATAGAATAAGAAATGGAGGAGACCTCCAACTCAGAGACAAAAGGATTGTCTGATATTGTATGACGAGTTAAAATCAGAAAATTGAAGGAGCGGATGGAAAAAGGTCAAGGCGATACGCGATTTGTCATGAATACAGGAGCATATCAAAACCTGGACCCAGGAATTGGGTTCTTGACATTCTACAAATGGGCCTGGCCTGGATGTACGATCGGGCCTGAGTCTGCAAATATTCGGCGAGTCCAAAGTCCATGGAAAAACCAAGCCCGTTTGTCGACTGAAAATCCTAAAGCGAGCGGAATCTCCAGTCAAACTCAAGCTGGAGTATTGAAATTTGTGTGGGCAAGAAGACTAGCCTGAAAATTTTGATTTGGAGCAAGTATGGCATCGTCGTCGGATCACAAGGCAACCGTCATCGACGGCAAAGCAGTAGCTCATACTATACGGTCCGAAATCGCCGATGAAGTCCGTCAACTGTCCCAGAAGTACGGCAAGGTCCGAACTTGCCGCCTTTTCTTTCTTTCTTTCTTTCTTTCTTCTGTGTAGTGTTTGAGAAAATGGCAGCAAGAATTTCAGCAAAATTTTCTTGCTTGAAAGTTGAAACGATAACATTTTCCTCCAAAGTTAATATCTGGTCATTCGATTATCTTATATGGATAGGTAGATAGAGGTGAGCTTAGCAAAAAGGGCATAAATTGGCCTGATTTTGTGTGGAATTTTGGTGATAAACAGGTCCCAGGATTGGCCGTGGTCATAGTGGGACATAGGAAAGACTCTCAAAGCTACGTGAGTATGAAGAGGAAGGCATGTGCTGAGGTTGGGATCAAGTCCTTTGACATCGGCCTTCCAGAGCAAGTGTCCGAAGCCGAATTAATCAGCAAGGTCCATGAGCTGAATGCAAATCCAGATGTTCATGGTTGGTTAGTTATATACCAGATTATTCTTCTTGTTACCTTTACAGCTTTCGGTTTCATCACCAAGCTAATTGAGCTCATAATATTTTGTTACTAAGAGATCCAATATACTAGTGTTTCATCTTGTCGTAGCTTTGATTTGCCATTTCTTGTCAGTGTATTAT